CCCCCCCCCCCCCCCCCTCCACCACCAAAACAAATCCTGGCTCCTCCTGCAATCTGAAAAAAACAACCCTGCAAAAGTGAGAAATATAGAGTAAAATGAAAATGAATATTGGGCATAAGGAGGCCGGGAAGGAGGATATGAACCATTTTGTAAATGCAAATATGAAATGTTTAATTATTATTGCAGAATGACTTGGTCCATGGATGGGGTCTTGATTTAGCTCTCAGGAAATGTGTGGAAGTAAGTACTCCACCTTATGCAGTGCAGTAAAATTCTCCTATATTCTTATTCGACGGGCCTTATTTTAATAATGCTTTTGGATGAGCAGCCAGCACATGAAAAGATAGGAGTTGTAGATTCTCAGTGGATTGTGCATCAGACTGTTCCTTCACTTGGGGATCAGGTATATCCCCGTTTCAGCCTCGATGTATGTTGGATTAAATTTAAAGTTTGCTGTAATGATTATCTTTTTTCGACAGGGACAAGCAGAGCAAGGCAAAGCACCTTGGGAAGGGGTATGTTGCAATATCTAATTCTCCACTAGATTGAAATTTGACCAAGAGAGGCAGATGGTTAAAAAACATAAGAATAAGCAATAAACAACAACATTATAATCACATCTTGAATTTGCATATGGACTTTTAGACTGAGTTCAAATCTTTCGGTTCATGGATGAAATTATGCTTGTTCTTTTCATTGTATCACACACTATTAATTGTTCTGTCTCAACTTAAAACCTTTACTTCCTGTTGATGCATGATTTGGAGATAGCTCCTCCATGAAATTTCTATCTGTTGCCTTAGCTGACATCGTATTTGCACGATTTTGTTACAAAGAAATATGCTGATATTTGAGCACATTGTCTAAGTCCATCATTTATTGTGGCTTAGGTAAGAGAAAGGTGTAAAAGAGAATGGACAATGTTCAAGGAGCGTATGGCTGCTGCAGAGAAAGACTATTACAAGGCAAAGGGAATTGATCCCCTTAATTCTACATCTCATTAGGTGGAAAGTTACATGATTAGGATGCCAGACACTTCTTTATGGATTTTAGTTATAGACACTGACAGTACTAACGATGTTTTACACTGTTAGTAGTAACAAGTTTACTTACCATTTTTACTAGCTTACGAATAAATGCTTTTACTTGTAATTTACCTTATAAGTGACCTGATTGTGTAAATATATTTTAGTGTCAAAGCATAGAACCTAAGCTCTTTGTTTATTAGCCTGAAGTAAGGCTGTTTGGTGGGCCGGTCTGGGACCGGGACCGGATCGGGCCCGCGGTCCTAACGGGCTAAACGGTCCCGGCGGGCCGGTCCCTAAATGGGTAGGAAGCCCGTGACGGGCCGGTCGCGTACACGAGGCCCACGAGACCGGGACCGCTAAGCCCGGGACCGGTTCAACCGGGCCTAACGGTCCTAACGGGCTCCAACGGCTATTTTTTTAAAAAAAAAATTTTTTTTTTAAAAAAAATAGCCAACGGTTAGATTTTAAAATCTAGCCGTTAGCCTTTAATTTTCAACCGTTTGGAACTTTAAAAAATAGCCATTTGGCCCCCAAACTTTATATAATTACACTTTTCCCCAATTCTCAACTATAAATACCCCCTCATTCTTTTATTTTTACTCGCCAATTCATCAATCTATCTCAATCTCTCTCAATCTATACCTAATTTCTCTTCTATAATTGCTTATTTTATTATTGCAATTTCGTGAAAAATTGTGAAGTTGGTGAATTGAAGTATTCAAGTCTTCAACGATTTTCAATTTTCAAGAAGTTGTTCGGCAATTCGGTAAACTCGTTCCAACTCTTAACTTTTAAGAATATATTTTTGTGTGTTTAGTTTGCATAATTGTAATTAATATGGCATTTTCTTTGAAAAAAATGTTTGGTGGTAAGGGAAAAGCTAAAATTGGTGAAAGTAGTCTCCAACCTACTACCCTTCCCCCAGCTCCCCGACCCAGACCTATTACCCGTCCTGCTGCTCCTATTATTCTTGATAGTGATAACCCTTGTTTTCAATTTTCCGATAGTGAATTTTGCCATAATGTTGCACCAGGTGAACAATTAAATGAAGAAGTTATGAATGCTCTTTATCCTAATCAAACTATCTTAGAAAATGATGAGGAAAATGAGGATGTAGATGAAACCCAAC